ACTCAGGCTGAAACTGAAAATATCAAGCAACCACAAATACATAGATGCACTTCAAACAACACCTCCCGATGTCAATCCACATAACGTGTCTCCCACATATTGTATGTCAGCGTATCTCTGAATTTTGAGTGAGCATCAATGTCCTCTCCGTTTGGATGAGGGGTAGGAATATTATGAATATTTGAAGATTCAAAACTACCTTCCATAACAAGATTCTCCTCAAGCACGTAAAACTCATCTATATCTTCTTTGTAGTGCAATATGATATTGTAAATGGTTGCACATGCAAAAATTAGCTGAACTTGCCTCGAGAAATTGTAATTAAGCATAGGTCCACGCACGATTGCAAATCGGTGTTTTAGACAACCAAAGCCTTGCTTGAAAATATTCCTTAACTGTGCATGGCGATAGTTAAAGAGCTCATGCGGTCTTCTTGGACTACCGCCGGCCTCTCAGTAGCTTTGCAAATGGTACCTATGCTGTCGGTATAGGATAAGGAATTGAGGTGCATTACAATACCTTGAATCAACAAGGTAGTACTTTCCTGGAAGATGAGTACTAGAATGTGAGTAAATATGTTGTAGATTGATTAAAATTTCATATTATAAAATGATGACTACAATTTCACCCCCAATTTAACCTGGTGTAAAGAATAGAAAATCTTATAACACATCAATAGCATAGGCGAGAACCCTTGCGTCATGCGCGCCCACTCGAACCCAACAAGCACATACACAGAATAAAGATCAAAGTCAACAACAGTCATACAATTTTGCATTGGGTTACCTTTTCGCCCTTGAAAACGGGGTTGGTCCGAGGTAGGAACACATGTATCAATAAGGGTGCCATTGATCGCACCGACACAATCTTGCAATATAGGACGATTAATAATTTAGGACATAACAATTAACAAGTGTTTCATAAGCATATAGGAGCAAGAAAATACCTTGAAGTAGGGGTAAAATTTTGTTGATGATGTAATCTTCGGATGCGTGTGAGTGACATTGCCTGGACGAATAAATTGTACCCGATCTGGGTTACAACATGTCTAACCATAGCCACATGGAAAAATACTATTTCGGTTGAAATTGGAAGCGCTCTGTAGTGACACGCATCCGTGTCGAATGGCCGATAGTATACAAAAACATCGTAACTGACTCGTATGGGGTGAGCCATTGATCTGGGCTTTCGTAAAAAAAGTGGGGTGCTACCATTTCAGTGAGACTGGTGAAATTAGACTTACTTACATGAAGGAGATTTTTTATTCTCATAGGATGACCATTGAGCAACTCTTTAACAAAGCCCTGCCCTAATAGCAACGATTTGTAGTATGGCATGGGTCTTATGAATGAGGTTAAAGGTAATGTTGTGGTCGCCCATTGTAAAAAGTGTTACGACATCTTCTTCGTCTATTTTCCATTGCTCTTGGTGTTGCGCAAGAAGCTCCTTAATTGTGGGCAAATCCATGAGACGTGAACGAATATGGGACATTCTAGTGTGACAACAACTAAAATATACGTTAGCACAATGGTAAATATGACAAGATCATATCTTATTTAAATCACAATAACACAATAATATCTCTGTCATACCAATAATTACCTTCAATCAAAGGATATGTAAAAGAAAGCTACGGCCGAGATAGAATCACGTGAGATTTGTCTTTATTTGACAACAATGATTCAAAAAAATATGATGGTAGCACAAACACGAGTTCACCCATACAAGCGAACTCGCCAACAGACCCGCACACTAGAGAGAAATTAAAAGCATAAACTATTGAACTACCATCTTACAAATACTAGGAAATGGGTATGGCATCCGTGATATGTCCAAGGCTATGGTATGTCTAGTTGTCTGACCCACTTTTCTTGCATCTCACGACTAAGGGACAAGAAGCATTCATGCATATTGGGTAGGATTAGGTTTCTATGTGCAACATAAATATTGCACATAGAAAGACCTGGAATAGAGTTCAACACGGTAGTGCAGCGATAGAGAGTGTTATCCTGGGCTTCCTCGTGTTTACTACGTCCACTGTAGAACATCTCAAAACCCTCCCACAGTCTCTCGAACCACATACATCATCTCTTCATTTGTAGCACGTTCTCCTCGACGGCGGTGATGTGGATGAGAATTCACCCTCGGGGGACTCCCCAGTGCAGAGATTCCAATTGTCGCCCCATCAACACTCCTCCCTTCTTCATCACCACTTCCCGATGTGTCGTCCAAATTTTCGGTAGCCGTACAAACATATATGGTCTAGCGAGCTAGTCTTCTTGCGAATGCATCCAATAAGCTACAATCATTCCCAATAGTGATGTACCCCTGCCATATTTCATTACATTGGTTGTAGAAAGGGAAGCCACGTGTTAACAAATTAGCATGCTTCGGATATTGCTAAAGGGAAGATCAACATGGCATAGTCAATAAAATTAATAATACACTTTTATTATCTCCTTGAAGTTAAGAAAAAATGTTTATAACTCACTTGTAGTTTAAAAGTTTTGCACAATACTCTCTTATGGTTTAAAAATTGTACGACGCTCCCCCATATTTTAGAAAATACTACACAAAATCCCATAAAAATTACATGAAACCCCCTCGTGTTTTTAAAAGTATTGCACACAATCCCCTAAAAAGGGATTTTGTGCAATGTTTTGGAAATATATGAGAGTCTCATGTAATTTTCAAAGTATAAGGGAGAATGGTGCATACTTTTCAAACCAAAAGTGGGTTATATGTATTTTTGCCTTGAAATTATTATGCGGTTGAGATTTACCCTTTTCCATTCTTCCATAAGCATTGGATCACCAATAAAAACCTCCCATTTGGCATCCCAACCTAACCCAGTTTGCCTGTTTGTAGCTCAGTTAGGAGGCGGAAGGCTTCTTGCAGACGGACGTACACTACCAAAAAAATGGGCTTTCATTACGGGACGAAGATTCGTAACAATATCGTTGTAATAAAAATTGGTTTTTGTTATGACTTTTATTGTGACAAAAGTAATTTTTATTAGTCAACGTCTTTTTTTAGTTATTACGATAAATGTTTCGTAAAAATTACAAATATGACAAAAAATGTCATAAATACAATAATTATGACTTTATTCTGTAACAAATGGAAATGTATTTTTATAATTTTTTAATAAAAAATTAAAAATTAAAAAAATAATCAAACTTCAAATATTGAAAATAATTTTTAACAAATTGAATGTAAAATAAATATAAATAAAAATTTATTATTAATTAATTATATATATATTATTTATTACAAATAAAATATATATAATAAATAAGTAAAAATATATTGCATTTCCTACCCGCCGCACTCCTCCTCTATTGAAAATATATTTTTAACAAATTAAATGTAAAATAAATATAAATAAAGATTTATTATTAATTAATTATATTTATAAAATTTACTAAGAATAAAATATATATAATAAATATCTAAATCACAAGCCCTTCCCACACCCGCCGCCCTCCCCCTTTCTTCTCCAACGCATCTTCATTCTTTCTTCGTTCTCTTCTTTTCTCTTCTTCTAACTTGCTCAGCCGCCGCCGCCCCTGTAGGTTAAAAATCGATAATGTGATAACATTTTTCTCATATCAGTTTTTTAATTTATTTTTCTTCTGTTTGCAGTTTCATCTGCCTTGGTCGCTGGTCGATTTCTCCCCGCCGCAGCGTCCCGTTAAAGTGAGGGCTTTTGGAACACGTCTCCAGCGTCGACCCATCAGGTAGGTGGTTTATCTAGCTTCTCCCTTCTCTTATTTCTGCTTGTCCTGCTTTCCTTCCTCGCCATGCCCTCGTCAGTGATTTTTATTTATTCTATTTTGCGTTTCCATTTCATTTGTTCATTGCTTGTTGTTGGAGTTGGTTGTTCAGCCACAACATCCAATGGCCGATAAGTGTGAAAGATTGTAGTATTTTACATTGTAGAATGTCCTCTAGGTTTGATTTTGAAGCTCCTTCTGTTAGATTTAAAATATGCTTTTGTATATTTTACACACTGGGTCATATATTTGGAAGTATGATGTTTTGTTAGAAGCAAACTCTGGTATTGCGTGATCCACCATGTTGGTGATGTGTTTGTAACACAGATACTAAAAGTTCATTTAGTCAGCAAAGTGCAGCACTTTTGAATTTTTACATTGTTAATTGTAATTGTATACTATTGTGCCAAGTGAATTTATTGATTAAGTTAAGTGTGATGTTTTGTGTTGTTTGGTTTAGGGAATTTGGGCATCCTACACTATGATAAATATATGCGAAATTCCATTGGTGTATGGTTCTGTTTTAAGTTTTATGAAGATATGACGGCTTCTCTGTTTTTGTAATTGTATTGCATTTTAGTCATCTATAAGGCTGCTTTTTGGAATATTTGGGAAAGGGTGCTTGTGTTGTGGATTTTTTGGATTTGAAATTTTTCGAATGGAAAAAGGTTTTTTGGATATTATGTTTTGAATAGAAAATAGGTGTCGGATGTGATAATTAAATAAAAGGAAGAGGATTATTTTAGTATAGATTATATAATGCAACAAGGTTTTTTTTTTTTTTTTAAAAAAACAAAGTGCACACACAAGCAAAGTTAATAAAACACTATATCACTACAAAAAAATAGTATATTTGTAACGGAATTCCGTTTATAAAGTTCACGTAGCTAACGTAATTTCATCCCTAATTCCGTCTCTAATATCATTAGTATCGGAAAAAGTAGATTTAAGAATGAAAAAGTCTTGTTACAAAATTGATATTTTTTTGTAGTGTATGATTTGATGGTTTTGTGAATTTTATTTATTTATTTATTTATTGGTGTACCCTCCTAAGACTTTCACTCATTTTATCTTTTCATCCTGCAATAATTGCAATGAAGTACAAAAATGATCTAGTAACACTATCCAATATAGAGTGCTTCTTTCCAAAACAACTTTAATTGCATCCCACGAGCTTTGAATGGCTAAAAAATTCACTACGATCCGTTTATTCTTCATAGGCCACAGGTCGTATTGATACGGTCTCTGAGCTTCTTAGGCCTGTCTCTGAATCACCTATGACGGTATGATTTTGTGAAACCCTAAAGTTAACTAAGTGTCAACTTTAGGCTAACTTTCATTTCCAACCTGTATGCTTGCAGCTCTTCTGCAATCTCTATTGTAGGTTGGCACCCGTGTGCTTATATTATCTCATACCGGAGAGAAGAAAGTTGTTGTTGAGGGACTTCTACTCAGCCCCCCTGCACCAGGTTCGTGGCATGGTGCCTTAGTTTTATTCTTTTGAATCCTTCAATATGATGTTCATACCGCATTGTCGATGTTGTGACCGTACAGGTCTCATAGTGCAGTTGATTATGGTTTTATTAAGTATGGGCATCTTTAATTTGACATATGTGGCAGTTAAAGTATTGTGTATATATAGGTTGTTATTGTAGGGACAGTGGCTATGTTGGTGTAATGCTGATTCTGTGCTGATCTTATATTTTTTATCGCTGACATGACATTATTTATGGCTATGTTGTTATTATACTATTTAGGAGACACACTACAGTCCCAAAACCGATGAATGGCTACTTTATTATTGAGTATTTGTGTAGTCTCGACCTGCACACAATAGGTTTTTATGTGATGAGGATCACTAACATATATTTTGATTTATCAGTGGTCGTTACTCTGAACTTGAACTCATCTGCAGGGATCTGCTCATATTTAGTGCATAAATGATAATTAATCTCCAATGGCATGATACTACAACACATACATGGAGCAGCCCGGGTTTGGGGGTAACCGTAAGGAATTATTAATTATTGAAATTATTATTTTAATATTGTACATGATCTACTGCATTACGTAGGTTTTATTTGTGGATGACTGGTTTATAGTTCGAGTTGCAAACGCATTGAAAATTAGAAAGTAGTGTAGTTTGGTGCCTAATTAATGGGTCAAATATCATGTATCCTAGTACATGTCCGAATGTACATACTCGTGGTATATAAGTTGGGAAATATACACTTCAAATAATTTATGACATGTTTTACGTACAGTTTAATGTGTTGATATATACGGTGAACTACATACTTTTAAATTGCTCTTGTGAATGTTGTAGGTGACATACTTTCCTTGGTCAAGGTTTTCGTTACATCCGCCGCGGTCCCGGACACACCCCTTATTTTGCCGACAAATGCTGGGGCGACTACCTTTCGCGAGGTGGTCGGTGAAGATCCTATTGAGTGGAACTATAAGGATGTATGGATCTACTTTCACAACTTCCACATATGGCTTCCAAAATTAAAATAATTATTGCTTAAACTAAACCTTTTTTTGTTCGTAATTGCAGCTCATGCGCCACCCCTGAAGCATATCAACCGGTTCCTTTATGTTTTGCCTCTGTTTGCATTATCAATTGCATGTCGTGGATGTGCTTGGATAGTAGGTTCTTACGCCTATGTGAAATACATATGGAATAGATGCATAGACATTTGGATGTATCTTTTGTGTGGTAAGAATTGTTGCTATGGATTGATGGATCTCCCCACTTGCTTATTACTAGGTTGGATGTTTGAAATGCTTGTGTTTGACGGAACATAATGTCGAAGTGGAGATGTTGCTAGCCTTGTTCGATTGGTTAATTTACTTTGTTGTTTGCTGGAGGACATCGACTAGTAAATACTGTTATGTTAATATCCTATGTTAGGATTTCCTTATAGTGTTTGTTGTTTGCAATTATGACCAATCGTAATATTTATAGTATGGTTGTATAAGAAAGATCACAGCAGGTTAATTTGTTACGCACAAATTCAACTGTTCCACAACTACTCATTTTTATGAGACGTTTTTTTTTCGTAACAAAAATGAGAAATGACGTAACAAAATGTTTGTTTTGGTGTTTGTTGTTACAACCGGTTCTGTGACCATAAGAATGGATATTTTTGTTAAGGGTTCAATGACGTAACAAAAAAATAAATGACGTAACAAAAATATAAAATGTTGTAACGAAAAGTTGTTTTTCAACGTAACAAATATGAGGGATATTTTTGTTACGGTCAGTTTCGTGACCATAAGAGAATATATTGTTAATTACGGCTTCAATAACGTAACAAAAAAGCGTAACAAAAAGCGTACTCTGACAAGGGGTCAGAGTAAAATGTTTTGGTAACGCGAGGCATTGTTGTAACAAATATCGTGAGTAAAAGACCTGGCACACGCGTGGAAAGCTCAACTTTTTATTACGAGGAAAAATTTGTAACAAATATCGTAACAAAAAGCTTGCCATAAGGATCGTTGACCAAGAGTAGTAGTTACGAAAATGTGCGTGGAAAAAAACATTCGTTACGGATAAAAGTCATCACTAAGGCGTAGCAAATACGCAAATTGCATGAAAATTGGCTTTTTGTTACGAATTTCCGGCCGTAGCAGAAAACTGATTTTTTGGTAGTGGTACCAATTAATCCAAATAATAACTAAAGAAAACAAAGAAAAAAATGTGCTATAATTTTAACAAAATATCTGGAATAATCCAATAGGCTCATAACACAGCCACTCTGCGCGAACTCCAAGCTTTCCGATGAGGCAACACCACAAAGGGGAGCAATCCAGGGTCTCAACACCAAAGGACCCGGAATCCCACAAAGAACAAGGAAGAGCACAAAGTCTAGGAGGGATAAGACCCGATAGAACTCCGGAGAGCACTATGTAAGGAAGAATACAAAGAATCGACACCAAACGACTAATTTCTCACTCCTACCCACAAAACCCATGAACACCTATTGATTTATATAGCCACTGCGAGATTGAGGATAAGACCTATAAAAGGGGAAAAAAACTTACCTTATCACGAGGACAAAACAATTGGAACAATAAACCATTTGAATGGAGCCGAAGAAGATGATATCACCAAGGTTCATCCTGTTGTCATCAGAATGGGAATAAGAAACTAAGGGAAGAATTGGTCTGTTCGATATAGATAAGATCTCATCAACTGCTTGTTTTTCTTTCCCATTAACCTACTAGTCTAATACCTTACTCTTTAGTCCACTCATAACTGTTTGAAAAGTTTTACTATCTCTACCATACTTAATAGTAGATTTGACATCAGAAAAAATTTAGGAATGACATCCAAAATGTATTTTTAATATCCATTATATATTTTTAATATCCACTAACCATATTCTTATACATTAGATATATATATATATATTAATATCCACTAACCATCCAATTTAACATCCAGTTAAAAATACATTTAAGTTTATTCAACAAAACTCCCCCGTAACTTAAATGCTTCGGCCATCCACCGTGCCAATCATTTTTCCTGAAATTTTTGAGAAGTTCCTTCGGTAGTGGTTTTGTAAACATATCCGCAACTTGATCTTGACTTGAGACATGCACCAATTCAACACTTTTTTCCTTCACTTGATCTCGGATAAAATGAAAGCGAACATCAATGTGCTTACTTCTTTCATGGTTCACCGGATTCTTTGCTAACTCAATCCTGATTTTTTGTCAACTTGAATTATAGTTGCACATGGTTGCTTCAATTCCATATTGCTCAAAAAATTCCTTAGCCATATCGCATGACATACACACCAAGATGTTGCCACATATTCAGCTTCACACGTTGAGAGCATCACAATCGGTTGCTTCTTTGAAAGCCAAGTAAAGACGGTATTGCCTATGAAAAACGCATATCCCGCCGCGCTTTTCCTATCATCTATGTCACCACACCAATCACTGTCGGAATACCCAATCAACTTGTAATCATCCAATTTCGTGTATAACATCCCAAGTGATATTGTTCCTTGAATGTACCGTAGGATTCGCTTCAATGCCTTCCAATGTGAATAAACCCGCTCCTCATGAACCGACTAACAATGCCATCACTTAATAAAATATCCGGCCTTGTGCTTGTGAGATAACAAAGGCTTCCTACCGAACTCCGGTATCTACTTGCATCAACACGCTCTCCTCATCAAACTTTGAGAGTTTTACACCCGGTTCCATGGGTGTTGATACGGGGTTGCAATCCACCATATTGTACTTCTTCAAAATCTCTTTCGTATATTTTTCTTGTGATACAAATATGCATGTCTCTGCTTGTTGAACCTCCAATCTAGGGAAAAATTTCATCAAGTCCAAATACCTCTTCTTCAAGTACACCATTCAAGAATGCCGATTTGATATCCATTTGATATATCGGCCATTTTAATTGAGTAGCTTGTGAAATGAGTAATCAAATGGTTTCTATTTTTGCAACAAGAGCAAATACCTCGTCATAGTCAATTTTCACCTTTTTCTTGTATCCCTTTGCAACGTGTCGCGGTTAATTGCCTCAATTTCCGCCAACTCCCATGTGTTGTTGCGGTTAATTGCCTCAATCTCGTCATTCATGGCAAGTTGCCATTTTTTGTCATGCACCGCCTCTTCAAAGCTGATATATCTGCCAAAAGACATACAAGTTGTACCTCATTAGTCAATCATACAACTCTTTCACTTTTCACATTCGGGGATGTCGTGGTTTATCTTCATCATTGAAAATTTCAGCATGTATTGGCATGCTTGTTGGTGTAGCAATTGATGATTCTCCCACTCCATGAATAGCCTCCACCGAATCATTCCGATTCCACTCGCTTGCTTCGTCTATTCGCACATCACGGCTCACCATCACCTTCTTGCTTATTGGGTCGAGCAGCTTGTATCCTTTTGTCTTCTCATCAAATCCAATGAAAAGATACTTTTTGCTTTTATCTTCAAGCTTCATTCTTCTTTGATCTGGTACATGTGCATAAGCCACACTACCGAACACTTTGAGATGAGACACTGTCGGCTTTTGTCCGCTCCACGCCTCTTGAGGTGTAAGATCATGTTGCTTTGCATGTGGAAATCTATTTTTTATATGTATGGCACATTGTACAGCTTCCGCCCAAAACTCCTTCGGCATCCTTTTGCTCTTGATCATTGATCGAACCATGTCAAGAATAGTTCGATTCTTTCTTTCCGCCACACCATTTTGTTGAGGAGAGTATGGTGCCATTAGAAATCTCCATATGCCTTGCTCTTCACAATACTCCAAAAAAGCCCTCGAAGTATACTCGCCACCTCGATCGGATCGTATGGCTTTGATTTGTCTACCAATTGCCTTCTCCACCATCACTTTGAATTTCTTAAACACCTCGAATGCCTTAGATTTCTCTTTCAAAAAATAAACCCAAGTTTTTCGTGAGAAATCATCAATAAACAAAATGAAGTACCTTTTGCCGCTGAAAGATTCAAGGCTGACTGGTCCACATATATCGGTATGAATCAACTCGAGAGGAAATTTAGCTCGATATTCTGCCTTCTTTTGAAATGATGTTCTTGCTTGCTTGCCAAACACACATTCCTCACAAAACTTTCCATCATAATCCATGTCCGGCAGCCTGTGCACCATGCTCTTCTTTGCCAGCTGTTTTAGACCACCATGATGTAGGTGACCAAAACGAAGATGCCATAGTGGTGCCTTGTCTTCTATATTGACTTGCAAACACCTTTCTTTCATGCTTTCAAATTCAATTTGTACATTCGATTTATTCCCATCTCAACTCGAGCAATCAAACGCCCTGTTTTTTCCTTCAAGAATAGTACCCGATCTTTTAAAAGTATTAAGTAGCCTTTTTTTGTGAGTTGCTGACACTTAAATATTTTATTGCAATTTATCGGAAGTGTACGATATCGCATCAAGTAATAAATTGGTAAGTATACCGAGTCGAATCCACAGGGAATTAAAAGTATTCATTCACATTCTGGAAATTTTGTGTCATTTAAAGATTAATTGAGTTGAGTTAAAATAAATAAACATCGATTTGACAATTTGAATTCCTAAATTACAGAAAATTAATATAAGCAACTAAATTCTATTGATCAAAGATTGCATAACCTGCTAGATTATAATGAATTATATGATTTAATGATTCAGATTCAACAAATTTTAATGTCATTATGAAACTTCAGATTCAACATATTTTATGCATTCCCATCTCCCAACATGAAAGCAATTCAAGTCAAATGCTATAAGTTTGCAACATTCCCAGAAATGGTACTAGTTATAAGATAATGAATAGTTCATTTAACTTGAGAATAAAACCATTAAAACTTATGAATTACATCCAACCAATTCATCATTTTATCCGGAGTAAAATTAAACATATTCAGAAATTTAATACATATTAGAAATATTAAAGAAAATTCAGCAACTTGGATTAAAAATTAAAATTCATATTAATCACACCAATTTATTATTCTCTTATTCATGAATATAATTTATTAATTGTGTTCTCTATCTTTCCCAAGATCATGAGACATTATTAAGAATAACGAATGGAAATAGTCTCCCGAAAAATTCCCATTATTAATATTTGCATATAAAACCGAATACGCTCCCAAATCTGGTACTCATATCCATAAATATGTGGTGTTTCCCAACAATCAACACATCAATTAAATGTATGCAGAAATTTAAATTTTAATTCAAGAACAAAATA